GACAAAGATGATTAATCAGAACTGGCTTTGACAAGCACTGTGGCATTTGGACAAGAACAAACTGGGAGGAGGGTAGAGAGAATGGTGCAGCGGTGAATGAATGGAAACCCAAAATCTCTGTAAATGTTTATGAAAATTAATAGATTTTCGTCTTCTCTTTGAAGGTGGCTTGATTGTTTCTGGCCTAAACTGGCTCCCTGACCTGGTGGCAGGGAGCTTGAGGCTCATGGGGTGCTATCCCCAGATTATTCAACTCTCTACATAATCCAACACACTGAGGAGAAACCAGAAATACTGCAGATCTGTCTCTACCTTAATGTTACAAGTCATTCTGTTACCGCTGTTGAAAAAGATGGACAGGCCTGGCCCCACACTCATGAAGCGAAACACTAAGAGAATGCCATTCTGTATTTCTAGGTGAGACACTTTGAAAGGAGCACTTATCTCTGCATTGGAACACTGGGAAGCATCACACATCCTGCTCCCGGGATTGGCACCCCAGCTCCTTATTAGGCAACCAGAACTCCCTAAGCAAGCAAACAGAAATTAGCTAATAAGCCTCATGCTCCTTTTCCCCTCTTTGTAGTCAAAGCTGTGATAAGGCAGGAGGAAATTAAGCTTTGGTCTTCTAGGTCTTGTTATTTTTCTTACATGATTTCTGTGCTGGCCTTAAGTCTGGACAGATGGACCAGGGAGGGAACCATTCAGGTAACTACCTCCCATAGCTGCCCTCTGCACAGACACCAAAAAGAAGTTTGGTTAAAGATGACTAAAAAAAGGTTAGTACTAAGATCTATGCACTAGGCTAATTTCTGCTTTCAGAATTTCAACCCCACTGACAGCACTAACACTCACTCACACTCTCTCTCTCTCTCTCACACACACACACCCCTGCAGCTTCAGGAACCTCATCTGTGGATCACACAGGGGTCGCCGGGGCAATGGTGAAACACATCCCTCAACTGAGAGGCTCTGGTAGGATGCAGACCCTAGTACCCATCCTCCTTTGTAGGGCTATGTGTGGGTGCAGCCTGAGCCTACTGCACAAATACAGGAGGAGGCAAAACAGACCAAACCATTGTCAAAGAGAAGATAAAAACCAGGGCAAGATCTTTCTTTTATTCCAGAACTCTGGTACTAAGAGGTAATCTAAACTAGAAAGCATTTGAAAAGATCAGTGGAGGAAATGGGAAAAGTTATCTCCACAGAAAAGCAACAAAGAGAAGTGGTCAGCCCCAGGGCTTCGTAGACTCCCAATCCTACCTGGGGGATTTGTCCTCTTGGGGATGTTCTGAGGCTCTTCAGTTGGTCCAAAGATATTAGATGCCATCCTATTGGGCCTACTGGAGGGAATGGCTTCTTCTGGACCTCCAAAGAGGTTGCTGGAGTCTCCTCCTGGGGGTTTCATGGCCCTACAAGCAGAGAGAAAGCACAAATTACTAAGGCACCTGGACACAGGTCACCATGAGGCCATGGAAAAACAGATGACACTTTACTAATGTCTGTGGAAAATGCAAGAAGCCCTAGTAATGTATTGTGGTAAACTACTAACAAAAATGATGCTAGTTTAAATTTACCACTGGCTCCTCAAGAGGAAAGATGGACAAGCAGTCTCATTTCATAAATACCGAAAGCCTTAGAAACCAACTCATGGTGGGTCAGTATGAGCCAGAATTGACACAATGGCAGGATGTTTAGACAAAATGCATAAACTAGTTATTTGATGTTGATATGAGAGGTGGACACAGAGTCATGCAGTAAGTTTTCTTTTTTAAAAAAAAATTTTTCAGAAATAAACTAAATTAATAAAAAAAATTGGTTTAAAAAAATTTTTTTTTCTGTTCTTTATTTTTTTGTGTGTATGAACTGTCAAATCAGATCTGATTGGTACAGGAGGAGATTGTCCCTCCTTCTCCAGCAAAGCATCTAGAGGATGGATTTGAACCGCTCACCTCTGAGACTGCAGTGCAGCTTCTTGACACTAGGCTACCAGAACTCGCCATAGTAAGTTTTCTTTAGTGCTCTCAAGGCTCCCATAAAAGTGCCCTTTACATATGTTAGTTGTAGTGTAATTTTGTAAAAAATTCTTGTGATTTCACAGAAGTAAAATTATGTGATTTCTTTTTTTTTTTTTTTAAAAGGAGATCAACTTAGCCACAGGCAAATCTCACTTCATTGTACTTTAAAAATACCTGCATTTTTGAAAGTCCCTCCAGCTGTGGTGTTTTTCCTGTGTGGAGAGGATAGGCAGATTTGTAAAACCCAGAATGAGATCCTGCATGCCCAAGGTTGTTGCTTTGTGGAGAAGCCAGGGCGAAGCTACTGTCACTATGTCTGGTCAGGAGGCAAAACCTTCAACTGAGGACTTGGGAGACAAGAAAGAAAAATATATAAGCTTAATGTCACTGGATAGGATAGCTGTGAGAGTCACTTCAAGGTGAAAAAGACAACACAACTCAAGAAACTCAGGGAATCATACTGTCAAAGATAAGGGTGAGGTGGTCTAATGAATTTGCTCAGATTTCTCTTTCAAGGTCAGAGAATTGCTGAAAATCACGCTCCAGAAGAACTGGGAAAGGAGGAAGATGTGATTGACCTTTATCAGGAACAGGGGTCATTCAACATTTTAGATAATATCTTAATTTTTCTTCTTTTTTCTTAATCCTTTTCTATTTTAAAAAATAGTTTTGTAATGTAGTGTTTAAAAATGAAATTGAAAACTGGCACCTATCTTCAAAACATCTGGTATTTTGAATTCTAGTGCTTATTAGGGGGCTCTGGTGGCCTAGTGGCAAGAAGCTGCACTGCAGTCTCCAATCTCAAAAGCTTGTGGTGGTTCCAGGCCACCAGTTGCTCCATGGAAGATGGGCAATCTCCTCCTATGCAAATTACTGCCTCTGAAAATCTGCCAGGGAGTCAGCTATGGTTTGGTTCCGACTCTCCAGCACACCACCACCACCACCACCACCACCACCACCACCACCACCACCAGTGCTCATTATTCATTATTGTTTTGTTGTGCGGATTTTTGGTGAGCAAACCTCAGCCTCCTTCGTGCTACCCTTTTCTCCTTAAAAATTATATGTGTGCACAGAGAAGTCACCTTTTCCAGGACTCTATTTTCAGGCTTGTGGGGTAAATAAGATCAACCAATTGCAAACTTTCCAATCAACAAACAAATGTGCACACCCATGTTTATCTCGGCTCTGTTCACAATAGCAAGGAGTTGGAAACAAGCTAAGTGCCCATCAACAAACAAATGGATAGAGAAGCTGTGGTATAGTCACACAATGGAATACTATGCTACACTGAAAAACAAGGAACTCATGCAATATTATTAAAAATGGGTGACCCTGGAGGACATTATGCTGAGTGAAATATCTCAGTCGCAAAAGGACAAATATTGCATGGTGCCACTGCTGTAAAATGGGACTGATATCAGGGTTGTGGTAAGACTGAGAAAAACTGGATAAATTGTGTATACTGCACTGAAACAGATGAGGGAGTGAATAATTTAAAAGCGATGTATGATAGGGTATTATGATTATCACAAGAGTCCACAATTAAGGTTGCATAGTGGAATGTACTTGGGGCAGTGGGAAGGGGTGTGGGGGGATTGTGTTCCAGGGAGGGAGTCTTTCTTTTACTTTTGAAAGAGAGGAGCGAACTGGGGGGGGAGGGCTGGGCGGGGAGAGAAGTGCAGCAATGAACGAATGGAAATCCAAAATCTCTGCAAATGCTCATTAAAATTATTTAAAAAAAAATAAAGCTTAAAAAGAAGAAAAAAAAAACCCCAAGAAACAAATGGACAGAGAAGCTATGGTATATTCACACAATGGAATACTACACTGCATTAAAAAACAAGGAACTCATGCAATATTATTTAAAATGGGTGACCCTGGAGGACATTATGCTGAGTGAAATATCTCAGTCACAAAAGGACAGGTGCTGCATGGTGCCACTATTGAATGGTACTGACATCAGGGTTGGGGTGGGACTGAGAAAAATTGGATAAATGATGTATACTGCATTGAAACAGATGAGGTAGAAAACTGTTTTAAAGCGATATATGATTGGGTATTATGGTTATGACAATATTCCAGAACGAAGGTTGCACAGTGGAGTATACTCTGGGCGGGGAGAAGGAATTCTATACCAATAAAATAATTTTATTTTTCAAAGAGAAGAGCGAACTGTGGGGAGGGGTGGGCAGGGAGAAAAATGCAATAATGAATGTATGGAAATCCAAAATCTCTGTAAACGTTCATTAAAATTAATTAAAAAAACAAAAACAAAAAAACACCAAACTTTCTAATTGGCCCTACGGTTCTAGTACCCGAATGCTTCACTCCTGGACTATGACTTTCAGAGCAAGGTAGAAGTTTTTCAGAGAACTGAAAGGCAGAAAAATGACCTCTCCTTAACTTGATGCTACTTATATGAGGGTCTGGACCCAAAGAAGAGGAATATCAGGTTAGAATCATGATGACATATGATGAGAGTAATGACTAAGTTCAGAGAGGGCTATCATAAAGAGACAATATTTTTTATTATTAATTTTAATGAAAGTTTACAGAGACTTAGGGTTTCCATTCATTCATTATATTTTAAAATTAAAATTATTATCAGAAGATCCCAGAAAAGTTGTAAATTTCATTGGAAGTTAGTTATTCACACAGAAGTGTATACATCAGAACACTCCTCTTTTTATTTTACTTGTACTTTTTGGCCTGGGGTACGTACAGTTTTATATGGATATTGTCTATACCAGTTTCACTAAAATAAATATCCGTAAACACAAAACAAAAAACCTACTTTTTTTTTTAAATTATTATTTTGTGTGCTTGTACCGTCAAATCAGATCTGACTGGTACAGGAGGATATTGCGCCTCCTTCTCTGGCAGAGCATCTGGTGGATTCGAACCATGTTCCTCTGGGATTGCAGTGCAGCTTCTTGCCAATAGGCCACCAGAGCTCCCTAAAACCTACATTTTTTACAAAGTGAAGATTTGCAGCAGTCTTGCACTGAGTGAGCTGTCATCATTTTTCTAATAGGATGTGCTTGCTCACTTTGTGTCTTCAGGCCACACTGTGGTAATTCTCACAATATTTCAAACTTGTTAAGAATGCTGTTACACATGTGTATGTACAGTTCAAAATCAGGAAAGGAATGCATCAGGGATACATCCTGTCTTCAGATCACTTAGGAGGCTGGACTTTATGAGAAGGAATGCGGTATCAGGATTGGAGGAACAACCTGACATATGCAGATACTATTTGCTGAAACTGAAGAGGGCCTAAATTGTCTGAAGAAGGTCAAGGACTATAATTGTTTGTGGGTTTTTTGTTGTTGTTGTTTCTTTGTTTTTTAAAATTTATTATTAATTTCAATGAAAATTTACAGAGACTCTGGATTTCCATTCATTCATTGTTGCACTTTTCTCGCCTCCCAACCCTTCCCCCTATTACACTACCCTCTTGGAAAAGTAAAAGGAAAATTCTTTCATTGTTCTATAAACCCTCCCCCAGGTCCACTAATGCAGCCTTTGCTCTGGACTCCTGTCATGACAAAAAAAACCTAATCACATATCCTGTAGGGCCAATTAGAAAGTTTTGTTTTCTTAAAAAAAATTAATTTTAATGAATGTTTACAGAGATTTTGGATTTCCATACACTCATTGTTGCATTTTTCTCCCTGCCCACCCCTCCCCACAGTTCGCTCTTCTCTTTGAAAAGTAAAAAAAAAATTATTTCATTATTATACAATACCTCCCCCCAAATCCACTCCACTATGCAGCCTTCCTTCTGGACTCCTGTCATGACAATAACACCTAATCACATATCCCTTTTTAAAGTTCTTTCCCTCATCTGTTTCAATACAGTATACATTATTTATCACATGTTTCTCAGTCTTCCCCCAACCCCACTGTCAGTCCCGTTTTACAACAGTGGCACTATGCGGTATTTGTCCTTTTGTGACTGAGATATTTCACTCAGCATAATGTCCTCCAGGGTCACCCATTTTAAATAATATTGCATGAGTTCCTTGTTTTTCAATGCAGCGTAGTATTCCATTGTGTGAATATACCACAACTTCTCTATTCATTCGTTTGTTGATGGGCACTTAGGTTGTTTCCAACTCTTTGCTATTGTGAACAAAGCTGCGATAAACATGAGTGTCCATATGTCTACTTGGGTAGCAGTTATGGTTTCTTTGGGGGATCTGTGTTTTTTTTAAAGAAATAACTGAATGTACAAAATCCAATCATTCAATCTCCAACCTCATTTGTTATCAAGTCCATAAATTCTGACTACCAGTCCCTTCTTTTACTTCCAACTTTTACATTCCAGCCACCAATTATTATTCATGCAACTTTGTAAAAAATAAATAAAAAACTTCTAACAGAC